TCCTTTTCAAACTGTCATTCCCGGCATAGTAGATCATATGGTTGTCTGATTCAAAATGGCCAAAACCAGTCCATTTCAGCTCACTAATGCCGAGGATATAAATCTTTATGTGTTCCACTTCCTTTTTGACGACTCCCAAAAGGCTCAGTCCTAGAATCAACCACTTACCCAAGTACCGTATTATTTCCTTTTATTGGCAAGTGTTATTAGAAACCAAAATCCGAGTGCTAGATGTGCTCATTACTACTGAGGTGTCTTGCCTCCAGGCTCTCTCAGCTGACAGAGTTTGAACATGATCACAGCTATAGACAGTTTTCCTACAAGACCCCAAGGCAAAGATTCATTCCTTTTGTAAAGCAATGAGGAACACAGTATATTCCTTAAGTGGAACTTGCCAACTCTCCCATCTCATGACAATAGTTGGGAAAGAACAGATCCTTGGTCACAGGTTCAGTGGGAATGCTGTGACCTCACAACTCACCCTCCTGATAGGCCTCTTATTTGCCTATCTCTTGGTCTCTGAGAGGGGTGCAAAAAAACTCAGTTGCCATTGACACTTATCACAACCCCATGTACATCAGATGGAACTCCATAGGGTTTTCAATGACTGATTTTTGGGAAGTAGATCACCAGGCCTTTATTCTGAAGCACCTCTGGGTGGAATTGAACTCCCAACTCTTTGGTTATCAGCTGAGTACCTTAACTGTCTCCACCACCCAGGGACTTGAAACAGGTGCAAGACATCCTAACTCTGAAGAAGCTGAAGCAGCTGCTTCCTGAGACTACTGGAAGTTGACAGAAAAGTGTCCTGCTACTTTGGGAGGTGGTTTTTATTTCTGGTTTTCTCTTTTTCATCTCTGGGTCCTTGGCCTCCTCAGGCAGTTCTGGGTCACAAAAGACAGGGAGAATGGGCAGTTATCTATTTCACTAGATTAAGGAAATGCCAGAGCCCAACCTAGCCTGCCCATAATAAGGGGCTGCCACTGGTCCTTCCACTCACTCTGCTCTTCTCCAACCCTGAGGTCCCTCCACTGGGACAGATCAGAGCTGACTCTGGTTCTGTTCTGAGGACAGGAACTCCTGGGACAGCTGCTCCCACAATAGGCCAACTACATTTCCTGTTGATTTGATTAGTTTTCTTCCAAGCAATGCATTTATGAAATGGAGCGAGCTTTTGCAGGCATGTATTTGCATAGGCAGCCAACTTCCCCCAGTCTCTCTCTCTCTTTCTCTCTCTCTCTCACACACACTTTCTCCCCATCCACCCACAGAACTTCAGTCACATTTGGAGTTTGCACAAATGCACACCCTCCCTCATAATTCACAATGCACACCCTCTCACCCACCTACACACCTCTCCCACAAAATCACACCTGCTCACATACCCTTAGAAGCACTTTCCTATACCGTGCCCAGAAAGAGAGAAAGATGGGTGACATAAGCAAGGAGAGTGGGCTGTGAGATCTCAGTAGGGCAAACACTCTCTGTAGGAGCTGGGATGTGAAATGATTAGGACCCTACAGTGAAGACCTAGAACACACAGTCTCCTCCTCCCCAGTGGAAACATTAAGAATAGAAAAGGATTCAAAAGCAAGGATAGAGGACTCCCTGTCTACACAGAGGGTGTGCCTCTCTGGGGGAGAAGTGACAGTGTGTCTCAGGCCTGAAACTCATGGGAAGTTGTTTGTCAAGGCTGAGAGTGGAAAATTAGGTGGCATCCATAACATGTCCAAGAAGTCCATTTTTTCTGGTGGCAAAAGTTTGTCTTGGGCTAGGACTCCCCTTCTGAACTCAAGAAAAGACAGGGAGGGAATGAGAGGTGAAAGGAGAGTAGAAGCTTAGGTTTGGGCTCTGGGTTCAACATAGGAGGAGTTGTTCCAGTGTCACCTAGAAGCCAAGAGGAGGAGCCTCACCTTCCTTGGAAGCTTAGAGTCCCCTCCAGAGAAGAGAGATGTGGGAGAGGGCCTTGAGAAGTAGCAATTGCCTAAAGTGCAGGGCTGCAGCAGCCATATTGCAGCAGTAACCTAGGCTCCAGTGAAATCTGGCTTCAGCCCCAGACTGTTGTCCTGATTCAACTCCGCCTAAGTAAGCTCAGAAGCTGTGGATTCTGGTAGAAAAGGGTCCTGGAATTGACCCACCGTGCCCAAGAAAATTGGCAAAGCACTTGGCTAAATGGAGACTTCAGGTCCTTTCTGTCCCACTCTGACAGTGCTTCTGGATACCTTCCCTGTGCTGACGCCTGGGGGCGCTCCCAGCTGAGTTCTAAAGCTGTCACCAGCACTGCTGTTGTTATCATTAGTATAATTAATAAACAAGCACTGATGGGGCCAAGTGGAGGAAGAGGCAGGCCCCTGCTGCTTGGAAGGAGAATCCCTGGAAAGATTCAATAAGGCTGTTAGCAACAAGGGACTGAATGACTGGTCCTTCTTCCCCACCCAGGGGAAAGGGCCTGCAGGTATAGGCTACAGGACAGGTAAAGGCAAGGCAAGAGGAATACTAGATAGGCTGGGTTTGGAACCAGCTCTGCATCTGCATGACAGGATGTCCGTGGGCATAGCCACCTCTGTGATTACTAGTTGCAGGGCAGGCCATGCTCAGAGACACTTATTCATTCATTTAACAAGTATCTACCTATTTATTTACGGAATGCCTACTGTCTGCAAAGTGGCCTACTAATAATAGCTAATATTTTATTGGACACCACAGGAACATAGCCAGCTTTCATACTATGATCTGGGGAATGGGGAGTAGAAACAGGGGAATCAACTAGGAAGAATGATAGCCCAAAAGATCTATGCTCTCTGTAGTGTAGGGGGATAGTACATAAAATCTAGGGATTACCAAAGTCTTGGAAAATTCAAGGCCCAAATTGGAAAATATTCTGGGCAGAAGGAGTGAAGAAAATAGTCAGTTTAGGGTAGGAAGATACTTGGAGATAAAGAGGTGGGGAATGGAGCACAAATATGGGAAATTTGGGTGAAAGGCTCATGAGAGAGGCCGGAAGGGGTGCCTAGGATGACAGAGGATGCTGTTGGGGGAGCCTTGAGTCTTAGCAATTTTGGGGGAAGACTTCTTGGTTGAGAGCGTCTAGGGGGTTGAGGTCCTGAGAGGGGGGTTCTGGGATCAGAACTCTGGCGATAGATAAAAGTTGGGGTGTGGTGAAGGCACCCAGCAAGGTTTTTAGGGAAGAATTCAGAGAGCTGGGTTTGAAAAGATACTGGTATATTTAGAGAAAGGAGGGGCGTGGCCAGGGTGCCCATTCAAGGGATGGAGACAAATCCTCCGGTTAGGGATTGGGGTAGCTGGGGCGTTAGGTGCTGGCCGGGCTGGGAGGTCTAGCTGGTCAAGGCCTGGTTGGCGCTCTGAGCAAGCCGTCCAGGGCTCCGCGGGGGGGCAGTACGAGCTCGGGCTGCGGGCAGGCCAGGGAGGAGGCGGTGGCTCCGAGAAGAACATGAATCAGCGGCGGCGGCGGCGGCGGCGGCGGCGGCTGAGGAAGGAGCGCGGTAGCCCAGGAGCGGCCCCGGGGACCCCGCGCTGCTGACGGCAGTGGCCAAGACTTGGCAGCGGGCACCGGTCTCGGAGGTGCCCGCCCCAGCACCGCCCCCCAGGCCTGCTCCCGCCCCTCCTCCCTCCTCCCGCCTTTCTACTCCCGCCTCCCTCTTCGCTCGCGGGCCCGGCCCGGCATGGTGCGGCGTCGCCGCCGATGGCGCTGAGGCGGAGCATGGGGCGGCCGGGGCTCCCGCCGCTGCCGCCACCGCCGCCGCCGCCGCCGCTACTGCTGCTGGCGAGTCTCGCAGCTTTGCTTCTCCTGGAGCCCAACGCCGCAGGTAGGGGCGGCTCCGGGAGGCGGGGGAGAGCCGGGGACTGCGGAGGGGCGCGGCCGGGGGTCGGAGTCCTGGAACGGTAGCCGGGCGAGACCCAGGCCTGGGCGGACCAGAGCTTTGGGTGGAGGGACCGAAACCGGAGGCCGAGAGTTGGGTCCTGGGGAAAAGGGCGCAGCAGTGTGTTCGCTGTCAGATCTCCAGTCGGGGCCCCCACCCCCAACTTTCTCGCGCCCTGGGCTCTTCTGGCGGGGTAGAAGGAAAAGGAGTGGGGGATATGGACTGTGTGGTCAGCTAGGGGTAGGGACTGGATTTTCCCGCCTCGCTGTTCCTAGTTCCGTTTGCTGCCCCCTTCCCAGTTCTGGGGACCCTATACTGCCTGCCCCACACATGAAAGTCCCATTCTGAAGCCACGGGGGTTGCGGCTGTGCATCCAAGGCGCACCCCTACACCATTTAGGCACTGGAGCTGTGAGAGTACTCTGTGCCTAATTAGAGCTTCCTGGTACCCGGAATGTTGGCGAGGATGGACAGGAGTAATGCCTTGTGTGGAGATTAGCAGCACTGTGTTCACAAATAGCCACTTAGGCAAACAGTCACATACAGCTGCATACAGCACCCTGGCAGCCCAACTTTACACTGTCCACTCCTGGGAGTGCTGGATGTGTATGTGTTACCCTACCACCACCACCACCACCACCACTCAGTGTGACTGATCCTGAGAGAGTGAAAGGAGTAGGGAGGAGACACGGACCGACCTGGCATCTTTCTTGAGCAGCATTGGCATATCAGCCTCTCAGGGAAGGGAAGGAAAAGAAATGACAAGTATTTACAAGCAGAAAGATGTGTATCTGAGGCTCAGAGAGCCCAGGATTTTGCCTATAGTCCCACAGCATACAGCAGGAAGAAGCAGGTCTGCATTTTAGCTCTATGGATACTTTACCGTCCAGTCTGGCATAAAAACATGCGAGGAGAGGTGTGTGTGTATGAGTATGTGTGTGTGTGCTGAATGTGGGGTCCTAGACCACTTCTTGCTGGTGCTTGCTAGTGTGACAGTAGCTCAGGGGTCCTCGGTTCCCTGCTCAGTGCTCTGCCCCTCCCTCCTGCCTCCCACCTTCTTAGCACCCGCCCCTGCACACATTCAGGTATTAATAGAGCAGGCGGCTGCCAGGAAGGCTGCCATGTGTTTGATCTGACGTGGTTGTGCAGCCATATGTTCTCCACCTCAGGGGAGCACCCCCTCCTTCCCTTCTACAGCCTGCCTTCATTTGGCGGGGTGGGGTGCAGAGGGGTGCCAGTAACTGTGGGGTCTGGGCTGGCACCTTAGGCAGGGTGCTGGCAGCCTGTTGCACTTACTGGGTGCAGCAGTCATTCTCTGGGCAGTCCCCCCACCCACGTCTCGGTCCCGTCCCCCCCCCCACCCCGCAGGAGGGTAAGAACTCCTTACTGTTTCAGCTGGGCTTTATGGCTGGGGCCAGCCCAGCCTGGTTTGCCTTTCTTTTGGTGCTCTGGGGTACACTTACATTGTCCAGGAGGAAGGGACAGGGAAGAGGTCACATCTACAGAACTGAGGGGAACTTGGCAGTGACAGAAATAGTGCCTGGAGAGGTTGTTGTGCTTTTTCCCACTCCAAGTTCAGGCCACCTTTCCTCCCATTTACCCTATCTTACCCTCCTTTGCCACTGGCTAAGAATGAGCCCTCTGACACAGAAGCTAGGTTCTGGAGGAGAATGGGGATATTTCCAGGGACAGGACCCCACTCAAGCAGACTGACACATTCTCCTTCCAACCCCTCAGGCCTGAAGCTCATGGGAGCCCCGGTGAAGCTGACAGTGTCACAGGGGCAGCCAGTGAAACTCAACTGTAGTGTGGAGGGGATGGAAGACCCTGAGATACAGTGGGTGAAGGATGGAGCTGTGGTCCAGAATGTGGACCAGGTGTATATCCCAGTCAGCGAGCAGCACTGGATCGGCTTCCTCAGGTGCAGTACTGTGAGCGAAGGTGTGGGAAGCCAGCCTGGGGAAGGCTGTGCTTTTTCTTGGGGCTTGGGATATGGAGGCTGTGCTCATTCCCAGAGGTCTGAGGGTTTTTTTTTTTTTTTTTAAATGCGGCAACCTCTGGAACCTTCCAGAAGTGGGGCTAGAGTGATTCCATCCAGTCTGTACAGCAGAGTTGCCCCCCATTGACACTGGGAAGTGAGCCTGGTGTCCTGTTTCCACAGCCTGAAGTCAGTGGAGCGCTCTGATGCAGGCCGGTACTGGTGCCAGGTGGAGAATGGGGAAGAAATTCAGACCTCCCAGCCGGTGTGGCTCACGGTAGAAGGTGAGGAAGCAGAGCCACATGGGCATGTTGACCTGGAGCAGGTGCAGTCTGCTGGGACCACATCTCTGGAAAGGATAGCTCAGTGGGAAACTAGACTGTCCTACCTGTTTGGGGCTGGGCTGCAGTTGCACCAGACTCCAGGTCCATCCCAGACTTCAGAGGACCCTACTCACTGGAGCCTGGGTAATTGACAGCCAAGGAGGCAACTAGGGCTTCCTAGTTGGGGTATAGTCTTTTTCAGTTGTCTAAGCAATAAGCCTCAAGAACCCATCTGGGTCTGCACCCTATTCTGCCAAGTGGCCTGGCTGAAAGGGTATGGATGGGGGAGGGGAAGAAGGTTCTGCAGCTGTGGGAGCTTGAAGCTCAGCCCTGTTCTGCCCAGGAAAACAAAGTGACTAAGAAAGTAACAAAGGGCGCTGAAGGGGAGCTGGGGCCTGCCAAAGAACTCTGCTGAAGCTCCCGCCTACTCCCCCTTCCAGTTTACCCCTCCCCCAGCTTTCAGCTCCCCACCCCCACTCTCCTCCTCCCTTATTCTGGGAAGGGCTGTCAGAGCAGGTCTGGGAAGAGAGTGTAGGAGCTGTTAGCAGAATCTGTCTTGCCTAAGGGGACTGAAGAAAAGAAGGCCCCCTCCCCAGGAACTATATACCTACTATGTAGTTGACCCAATTGTGAGGGGCCTGCTCCCCGTAGGGTTTGGAATGGAAGCTAACTTGTGATTTGAGCAGTAGGATGCCAAAAGGTGGCAGGGCTCACTACCCATCCCCCTTCTCTCCCCAGGTATACCATTTTTTACTGTGGAGCCAAAAGATTTGGCTGTGCTACCCAACGTCCCTTTCCAACTGTCTTGTGAAGCCGTGGGTCCCCCTGAACCTGTTACCATTGTCTGGTGGAGAGGGGGCACAAAGATTGGAGGACCCGCTCCCTCTCCCTCCATTTTGAATGTTACAGGTGAGCAACCTCAGGAAGGGGCTTTGAACAGGCTATGAACTGGGTCCTTGGGGGCAGTGATACTGGCAGAGTTTGAATCCGTTTAAATCACTAAGTTTGCTGTTATGAGTGTCCAGAGGGATCCCAGTGCCTGTGGGACATGAGCTGCACTATTACTGAGCTCATTAGTAAGGTGTGCCAGGCTGGCTGGGTGGGTGATTAGTGGTGATCTTGCAGTGTGTGCTGCAGTGTGTGCTTAAGGAGAGTGCTGTGGCCTCCTTCACTCCTTCGCAGTACTCCAGGCTGTGCATGGCTGGCCCCCCACCCCTTCCACAGGAAAGGGCTGTAAACCATGCTGAGCTAAGAAGAGAGCCTGGCAGATGCCAAGAAGAGAAGACTCTCAGGCTGCAGCAGGGGAAATAGGGGCAAGGCTAGCACAAAGATACAGGGGTCGCCTCCCCTAATGGCCTTTCCCAGAAATCTCCAGACATTTTCCCAGGCAACTGAAACTGCCTATACCTCTGAACCCCAAGATACTCAGGCACATACTTGTGAGATTTACCTCTCTAAGAAATGAGTTCACTGTTTCTGGTTGAACCAGGCAAGAAAGATGGGAGTCTGGATCTGATCTCATGTGCTGGAACGTGACAGAGAAGGGGCTCTGACCTGTCAAGTTCCCCAGCATTTAATGAATCTTGAGAAGAGGTGGACTATGAGAAGCAAGGGCAGGTTTTGTTCAGGAACCACTGGGTTGAAGCAGATTGGAGAGGAGGTTGGGTTCAGTTCCCTCCAGATGTGCGTGGTTGGGACCCTCCGGCAGCCAGCCTGATAATAGCACTACTGAACTCCTACGCCACACACCACACTGAGCTAGGCACCACGGGGGAGCCAGGGAATACAAAGGAATGGAACCCATTGTTCCTGACCCCCAAGGAATTGAGTATAATTGGGGAGACAAGACAAGCATAAGGTTAGCTGAAAACTATTGCAAGGCAAAGAATGTGCAAGTACCACAATGACAGGGAACAGAGCAAATAGAGAAGCGTTGTCATGTGCAGTAAAGGAGGGACCAGAAAAGGGAGGCAGCTTAGTGGGAGAGGTGGTATAACATTTCTCAAGTGCTTGCCTGCACTTTACACACGTCATCACATCATTTGATTCCCATAGTTCTTCCATTTGAGAGACAAAACAGAGCCTCCACCCTAAGGTTTACATCAAGCCCATTAGACTCCAAAGTCCTGTTTTTTCAACCAAGCCCCCCTTCTCTAGCGCCTTTCTTTGACTGGAGAGACGACTAGGATCCATCTAGGATCAAAACCTGAGTAACCCTCTTCCCTGACCCAGCCTGCGTGAGGGTAGCTGCTTTGAGAAGCGGGGCTGACTGTGGTTTTCTGGCACCAGGGGTGACCCAGAGCACTGTGTTCTCCTGTGAAGCTCACAATGTAAAGGGCCTGGCCTCCTCCCGCCCAGCCACAGTCCGCCTTCAAGGTAGGAGGACTGCAGAGGGAGGGAGGAAGGAGGAGAGGGAGAGAGGGAGGGTAGTTCTCACTGAGCTTTCCAGCAGTGGGTGGAGAAGTTAGAATTGCTTGATGTCCAGCCCCCTTCAGTCCTGCTGGATTGGGGATGAAGGGTTAATTGGCATGTCTCCCATTCCTAGTGGGAGCACCTAAGATCCTGCTATGGCTGAGATGAGAGTAGAAACCTGATGTCACAGCAGATTTCCCACCATGAAGCGGAGTCCTTGGAAGGGAGAAAGGGAGGGAGCCAGCAGGAATTGGTCAAGGTTCCTGCCCAACTATGTTTCTTCTACCCCTTGTGGAGGCAATGGGGTGGGGAAAACATGGCCCAGCAGGGTGATAGAGGAAACCCAAAGGACTGTTGTGCACAGAGAGAGGGAAAGAAAGAGCCCCCCAGTGTGAGGAGCTGGGGCAGCTGTCTATCACTAGGCTGTATCTTCCAAGACTGAAGTACCCCCACCCCCAATATACATCTTCACTATCTCATCCTTTTTCTTAGATAGGGCCCCTGATTAAGGGAGAGGTGATCTCTCTTCATACACAGGTATGGGCAGCTGTCTCCTACTGGCTGCTTGGCTTGTATATCTCCGTGGTCGTGGAAGCTGAGTAGCTATTTTTAGGTTGAGGGTTTAGAGAGGGATTCAAGGCTTGACTGCCATGCCTTCTGCTTCCTCCTCTCATGTCCTTACTGGGCACCGGAACCTCCAGTGCACTCACTCTAGATCCTCATCCACAGTATTGCCTGCAGCCCCTTCCAACATCACAGTGACGAAGCTCTCCAGCAACAACGCTAGTGTAGCCTGGACTCCAGGTGCTGATGGCCGAGCCCTACTCAAATCCTGTACAGTCCAGGTAAGCAGAGCTGGCAGGACGGGCTCTCCTGGCCTGGCCGTGTTTGTCTGGCTGCCTGTGTTGACAGTGGTGTCCCACTTAATGTAGACCACCCCTGGGGGCTTGATTCCAGCTCTATTTAGGAACTACACCTCAGTAGGAACAGCCCCATCTTATCAAATGGTGCTCTGCTAACCAAGTGATTCTGCAGGTTGATTCAAATCTGTGTATTCTTCAGACTCGAAAGCAGATCACTAAAGCAGATTTTGGGTACCTGGAAGAGTTTTTCTTACATGGGGGCAAACACAAACCTTTGGTTTGTCTGATACACATTCTCATACCCTCATGCCTCCAACTCATGTCAGAGAGCATAAGGGGACAAAAAGGAATCTAAGCCCTAGAGAGTATTAAGCTGGATTAAGATGCTCCGACTCGAGGGCACATAACAACAACAACAACAAAAACAAGAAGCAATTTAACTCTGTTGTTTTTCATCTGTTTATTTGGAAAATGTTTAATGAGCGCCTTTTTTTTTTTAGGAACTATTCTAGGCAGTTCTGCCATTAGACCTGGGCAAGAGGGGCCCCTGCCCTGGACTCCACCAGTTAGAGGACCCTGTTCTGGCCCTCCTTTGGCAGCACTCCTTTCCCATGAGCAAGGAGTCTGCTGGGGCAAAGGGCATGCCCTTCTAGATCCTGAGCACCACCCCGCCCTACCACTCCATACTTAAGTACTCAGGATCTCTTGCCCTGAGTGTTTCCAGGGCCTGTGTAGGTATCTTTTCTGGGTCCATCCTCCCAAGAATGGACTACATTATGGTATGTGTTCCTCAAGCCCAAGGAGTAGCCATTTGTTTGGGGGATGGAAATTGAACGTGAGTGTGCAAGCAACATTGTCCACACCTGTGCACTCACGGTGCAGACCCTTGGCTGGGGGTTAGTTCTTCTAGTGCCACCTACATTCTGGCTTGGGACTCCAAGGAATCTGAGGATTATAAATGTAAACCTTATCTTCTAAATTGTTTTATGGATTTATTTGTGAAGATACTAGGATAGAAAATATGGTTAGTCCCTGGGTGATATAAATGGTAATGAGCTCAAATACTAACTGAAAGGTTGGAGGTTCCAGTCCATGTGGAGGCAACTCAGAGGAAAGGCCTGGCAAACTATTTCTGAAAAAGCAGCCATTGAAAACCCTACGGAGCATTTTTCTACTCTGACACACATAGGATCACCATGAGTCAAAATTGACTCAGTGGTAACTGGTAGCTGGATTACAGCATTTAAATATTTAGCCATATGATACATGGATCTTCAGTTTTTGCTCCAGACCACCAAAATCTAAGAGAAGGGTCTGGCTTTAGTCATCAGAATGTAAAAATGAGTAAGAGAGTTTCTTACCTTTGAGAAGCTCTGAGATTTTCAGAAGCTCTGAGACTTTCACCTGGCATGTAAATAGTTACAGTAAGTGGCAAGTACTCTAACAGAGTTAAGCACCAAGTACAAAGGGGCAAGTTTTCTTGAGAAGTTGAGAAAGGCTTTCACAGAGGAAGTGATATTTGAACTGTTATTTGAACTGATTTCTTAAAGGATGAGTAGGACTTTAGCAGGTCATTCCAAGCAAAGGGAACAGCATTTCTAAAGGCATGGTAATATGAGTACAAGTGTGTTACTGGGACAAAGCAGGAGAGGAGGGGAAAGGGGAAAGCAAGTGTTTGCTGATAGGCTTTGTAGTTGTTAGCAGCTCTGTTGTTAGGTGCTGATGTGTCTTTTCTGACTCATACTGACCCTGTGTACAAGAGAATGAAACACGGCCCAATCCTGCATCATCCTCACAATGGTTGGTGTATTTGAGCCCATTGTTCCAGCTACTGTTTCGATCTGTCTCATTGAGTGTCTTCCTCTTTTTCACTCACCCTCTACTTTACCAAGCATGGTATCCTTTTCCAGAGACTGGTCCCTCCTGATAACATGTCCAAAGTACATGAGATGAAATCTCACCAGCCTTGCCTTAAGGAGTACACTGGCTGTACTTCCTCCAATATAGATTTGTTCATTCTTCTGGCATCCCATGATATATTTAATATTCTTTGACAATACCATAATTCAAGTGTATCACTTCTTCAGTCTTTCTTATTTTATTGTCCAGCTTTCCCGTGCATATAAGGCAATTGAAAATACCAGGGCTTGTGTCAGCGCACTTTAGTCCTCACAGTGACATCTTTGCTCTTTAACATTTTAAAGAAATCTTTTGCAGCTTGTTTGCCCAATGTGATACATTGTTTGATTTCCTGATTACTACTTCTATGAGCATTGAATGTGGATCCAGGTTAAATGAAATCCTTGACAACTTCAGTATTTTCTGCATTTATCATGATGTTGCTTATTGGTCTAGTTGTGAGGATTTTTGTTTTCTTTCTGTTAAAGTGTAATCCATACTGAAGGCTGTAGTCTTTGATTTTCATCAGTAAGTACTTGAAGTCCTCTTTACTTTTAGCAAGCAAGGTTGTTACCATCTGTGTATCACAGGTTGTTAATGAGTCTTCTTCCAATCCTGATGCCCTGTTAGTTTCCCTCAAAAAAAGTAACAAACAAACAAACAAAAAACCCAGACTCACTACCATCAAGTAGATTCTGACTCATAGTGACCCCCATTGGGTTTCCAAGGCTGTAAATCTTGATGGAAGTAGATAGCCGCATCTTCTTTCCACAGAGTAGCTGGTGGGTTTGAACCACTTACCTTCTGGTTAGCAGCCAAATGCCTTATCTGCTAAGTCACCAGACCTCCTTTTAATTACCCTCAAAAAACCAAACTCACTGCCATCTAGTTGATTCCGACTCATAGCGGCCCCCATTGGGTTTCCAAGGCTGTAAATCTTTATGGAAGTTCATAGCCCCATCTTCCCCTGTGGAGCAGCTGGTAGGTAGCTTTTATTCAAGGAATCTTCCTCCCCACACACATCCCATCTTCCATCTCATCTCCGACCCTCTCCCACAGCTTTCTTTTATACATTTCTGTAGGTGACTCAAGCCCCAGGAGGCTGGGAAGTCCTGGCTGTTGTGGTGCCGGTGCCACCCTTTACCTGCCTGCTCCGTGATCTGGCTCCTGCCACCAACTACAGCCTCAGGGTGCGCTGTGCCAATGCCTTGGGGCCTTCTCCTTATGCTGACTGGGTGCCTTTTCGGACAGAGGGTATAGGTAAGGGCAGAGTGAGTGAGCACAGGGCTGTGGTGTTGGCATGGAGCTCTGGATAGAGTTTATGGGCGAGGGGCTGCCTGAGAAGGCCCATCCTGCATCATTCCATAAAGGTTTACTGAGACGCCTGCTGCATACCTAATGAACTAGATAAATCTAGCCCCTCTCTCCTAGGATTTAATTCTAGTGGGTGGAGTAGACAAAGTAGAAAAGATCAGAAGATGTGGTGATGAAAAGTGCCCCAGGGTGGTCTAGGAAAACCTCCATGTGAACATTTGGGGTAATTCAGGGACCAAGCAAGTATAGAGACCTTTTGGCAGGAACTTGCTTGGCGTCATTTGGCCATTGCAAGGAGGCTAATGTGGCTGGAGCTTCTTTATGGGAGAGGGGAGGTATGAGGTAGAGAGGCAGTAACCATGGTGATGAAGAGCAATACTGCTGAGCTAGGTTGCTGCTGGTCCTGCCCATTACTTACCCTTCCTCCCCAGCACAGTGAGTGAGCAGAGTCAGAGCTGGGAGGTGAGTTTAGTTCTTGGAAGTTGGTTCTGAGGCCTGGATGGGATAATGATGGTGGGAAGGGAATGGGTCTTAGCAACCTTCTCTCTTTGGATGCAGCCCCAGCCAGCGCTCCCCAAAACCTCCATGCCTTCCGCACAGACTCAGGCCTCATCCTGGAGTGGGAAGAAGTGATCCCTGAGAGCCCTATGGAAGGCCCCCTGGGGCCCTATAAACTATCCTGGGTTCAAGACAATGAAACCCAGGTAAGGGGCTACTGGAGGCCTCCACTCTCCAGGTGTACTAGAAAGTTGGCTTTTAGGATTACAGAGCCCTGAGAACTTTAGAATGGCTATTCTTAGTGGCCTAGGCCTCCTACCACCCTGCATATTCACTCCTCCCAACCTCCACAGCAGGATCTGCTCTTTATTGGACTATGTCTCTAGTTAGTGTTGTATCTTGTAGCCACTTTGTAAGTCAAGCAGGAAACACATTCTTGCATGAACCGGGGGAGGGCACAGATAAGGCCTCCTTATCCAGGCCTGATTCTCTCCCATCCCCCCTCTGCATTCCTGGACTGAGCCTTGTTTGTCTTCAGGAGAGTTCTCTGCAGCCTGGAGCTGGAATGTGATGACTCCCAGCAGGTTGTGTTCTGCAGCCCTTGAACCCAGGGAACCCAGGCTCCTAGCCAGACCTATTTACCCAGAGCACCCAGGCTCCTAGCAGGACCTATTTTTGCCCTCAGGCTGCAGCTTGAGGCTGTACCCTCAGGCTCAGTGTAGGATGGGGGCTTTATCTGGTTGCAGAGTGAGCTGACAGTGGAGGGGACCAGGATCAACTTGACAGGCTGGGATCCCCAGAAGGACCTGACAGTGCGTGTGTGTGTCTCCAATGATGTTGGCTGTGGGCCCTGGAGTCAGCCTCTGATAGTCTCTTCTCATGACCATGCAGGTGAGGCCTGGAGGGGGAGGGGGACAAGGAGCAGATCTTTCAAGGTAGACTGGTAGCAGTGGCTGGGAGACTCTTCCCTCCTAATAGGCCCACAGACAGAGCCAAGAACTTGAGGCCAGGGTTGGTATTTAAATTATATCTCCTTCCCTACCTCTCCTCAACTCTTTCACTCAGAAGGAGTATAGAAATCCTTGTTCACAGTATGGGATCACAGTACACAATGCCTGTTGCTGACAAGACAGGACCCAAATGTTTCTTAGGTCTTCCTTTGGAGCCTCTTTGTACTCAGAAAGAGTACAAAGGCTTCGTGAAGCCTTTGACCAAGCCAGATGGCCATCCTGGGAAAGTTCTGAGGGACTCCTTAGTAGCAGCTTAGCTCGTATTGTTACCTTTCCCTCTGCAGGCCGGCAGGGCCCTCCCCACAGCCGGACATCCTGGGTGCCTGTGGTCCTGGGTGTGCTGACTGCCCTGGTGACAGCTGCTGCCCTGGCCCTCATCCTACTTCGAAAGAGACGGAAGGAGACACGGTTTGGGTAAGGGGAGTAATGGAGAGAGAGAGGCAGGTGGTGGCTGAGAGCTTTGGAACTGACTTCAGGTCCTTGATTTCCATTTAGGCAAGCCTTTGACAGTGTCATGGCCCGGGGGGAGCCAGCTGTTCACTTCCGGGCAGCCCGATCCTTCAATCGGGAAAGGCCTGAGCGCATTGAGGCCACATGTGAGTGGTGGGGGATCGTGAGAGGAAAAAGTGGACTATTTTTGTGCTCCTGTAGCATTCCTTTTACCAACTCATAATTTGACCAGTATGTCTGAACCCAGATGAGACCCAGGCACACAAGGCAGAAAGACAAACCTATTCTCATGAAGGTTGCCATCCCCAGCTATGGGAGAGCTCAACTCATCTCTATGCTCTGAGGGTAGAATCCGGGATGTAGGAAGTAGGCTGGGTTTTGGATTAGGAGCTGGAGTCACTCCTTTTTCTCATTGACCCCTTCCTCATAGTGGACAGTTTGGGAATCAGTGATGAACTTAAGGACAAACTGGAAGATGTGCTCATCCCAGAACAACAGTTCACCCTGGGCCGGATGTTAGGCAAAGGTATGTGGGAGCTACAATGACTGGCAAGAATTTGCTATATCTAGGTATATTGGTTCCTCCTCTCACTTTGAGGGTGTGGAGTTGGGTTAGCTCCTATAACAGAATGTGTTTGTAGACCTCTGAGTTTGGGAGGTTTGGGGAATGGTAACTGGGGATAGAGAGGACTGAGGAGCCACTCCCAGTATGCTTTGCTTTGGCTGTGTGCAAGGACGCCTCCTCCAGTGGGTGATGATTTTTGTGAACCCATGGATGGTCACTTGGGCAGGAAAAAGGTGAGGATAGGAGACCAAGGGACTCACCCTTATTTGGATCTGTCTCTAGGAGAGTTTGGTTCAGTGCGTGAGGCCCAGCTAAAGCAGGAGGATGGCTCTTTTGTGAAAGTGGCAGTGAAAATGCTAAAAGGTGAGTAGAGCATAGTAGTTTTGGAGTGAAGGCATCACTTGGGAGGGAAGAAGGGGAGTGATCCTGAGGCCGACTCTGCTTTCCCCTGAAACTTTCTGAGAAGAGCTAATCAGCACAGACTGGGCTGCTGACTGTACCATGTGAATAATTCACACAGTTATTCATGCCCCAGTCTTTCTCTCTGCTGTCTGCCGTCAGCAGTGACTGTCCTCTGAGCTCACTCTCGGGATAATTAAGGCTGTGGTTGGTTGAGCTGCTGGGCTATCCAAGCCAAAGGGGAAGCTTTGCAAGTGGAGAAATTGTTGGACCACACTGCTCATAGCCAGAATGTCTCCTGAGCCAGGACATCTGAAGAATAAAGCTTCAGAGTCTTGGGGTTGGGGGAGTCTCATCTCTTTCCCTTGCCCCTATTCTATTCTACCAGCTGACATCATTGCCTCAAGCGACATTGAAGAGTTTCTCAGGGAAGCGGCTTGCATGAAGGAATTTGACCACCCACACGTGGCCAAGCTTGTTGGTGAGCCTCTTCTTGGGGCAGACAGATATAGAATAGGACCCAAAATATGTCCCTCAAGGTGGGAGGCCATGTGGGAGAGAAGCTTGGATTCACCTGGTGAGTAAGCAGAGGTAAAAAAAAAAATAGATAAGGAGAGTCCTGGCTGAATCCTGCCCAGAATCCAGATGAGATTAGTTTACAGACCCTGTGCCAAAGGCCTGCATAGTGAAGACTGCTCCTTTAGGAGGAAGGGACAGATGAGATGCTCTAGGGATCATAATTAGTTTATTGGGGCAATCCTGAGTCACCAGGCCAGTGTCCACTTATGGGAGAGAGGTGTCAGAGCCAGGGCTAGAGGTGGGATCCAGCAGGTGGGGACTGTTGTGGACGCCTGAGCCACGCTCTGGCCTTCATGTGCCCAGGTCCTGACTCTCCTTTGTCCCCAGGAGTGAGCCTCAGGAGCAGGGCCAAGGGCCGTCTCCCCATCCCCATGGTCATCCTGCCCTTCATGAAGCATGGAGACTTGCACGCCTTTTTGCTTGCCTCCCGGATTGGGGAGAACCCCTTTGTGAGTACCTGGGGTAGGAGTGGCCAGGAGAAAACTGGGATGGGAGAACAGGGCCTAGAAAGGACCCTGGGAATGAGCAGCTTGGTAGGTGATGGAGCTGGTTGGGAGGAGAAGGGCTCTGAGTTTGACTCCTTTTATGCTAGCAAGCTTCCTTTTCCCTCACAAAGCCTTGCTAGGGCTTCTAGGCTAGGCAAGGGCCCCTTCTGGGAGAAGAGACCTGTGTGATTCCAGATGGGGGGCATCTTTGTTCTTGAGTTCTCTGTCAGACTTGCCAAAGCTTCCTTCCTTGCTTTGGGAAACCCCCTCTGTCCCCTTCCTTTCACTAATTCTAAGGTCGTTCTTTAGGCCTTCTGGCCTCTGACTAAGAAACTCCATATATCCTGCCCCAGCTGGGTAGGCAGGTCCAGCCTGAGCTTGTCCTGTCTGTCTGTCAGAACCTGCCCCTGCAGACCCTGGTCCGGTTCATGGTGGACATTGCCTGCGGCATGGAATACCTGAGCTCCCGGAACTTCATCCATCGAGACCTAGCTGCTCGAAATTGCATGTATGTGAATTCTAGAGGGCCCAGGCTGGGAGGCAGCAGCCAGTGCAAGGAGGGGTTAGCTAATGGTCAGCTCCTGCTTGGGACCAGGTCTGGTATGCAGAGGGAGCAAAGATGCCCCAGCTTGGGTAAGGCTGTGGCATAGAAGAAGCCTTACTCCCATCCTGCAATACCTTTTGCAGGCTGGCAGAGGACATGACAGTGTGTGTGGCCGACTTTGGACTCTCCCGAAAAATCTATAGTGGGGACTACTATCGTCAAGGCTGTGCCTCCAAATTGCCTGTCAAGTGGCTAGCCCTGGAGAGTCTGGCTGACAACCTGTATACTGTGCACAGTGACGTGGTAAGCAGGGTGGCACAGGGAGGCTTTGTAGTCTGGACTGGTATGAGGGGTGACTGTAGGATCCTTAGGTATCTAGCCAGATCTGCTTTCTGGTTTTGGCCCCCCAGTTAGGAGCCCCTTGAGCCCCGAGATGTGCTTACCTCAGAGCCACGGCTCTGTCTGGCTCAGGAAGCTTAGTGACACACCTTCATTTGTGATTTTATCTCAGTGGGCCTTCGGGGTGACCATGTGGGAGATCATGACTCGTGGGCAGACGCCATATGCTGGCATCGAGAATGCTGAGATTTACAACTACCTCATTGGCGGGAATCGCCTGAAACAGCCCCCGGAGTGTATGGAGGACGTGTGAGTGCCCTGGGATGGGGATTCTGGGACGAAACAGGAGTGTCAGCTGAAGACTACCAGTACAGCTCTTGGCCCAGTGGTGCTCACAACCTCGACTGGACACTTATTTATTAATTTATTGTAGTAGGAATGTCCTTATACCTAGAGGAAGGTCTAACCTCCATCCTATGCACTCGCCCTTCTCCAGTTTCCAGGGAGAAACAGAAACCTCAAGGGCAGAAAGCATGGGGTTGAGCAATAGTGCAGGCTTCCCTGTCACCTTCTTTTCACCCCCCCTTTCTTCCGTAGGCCCTAGCTAGTCTAAAAAGTCCTCCTAGACTCAGCTCTCTTTCCTCACCAGAGAGGGTAGCACAGGGACAGGAAAAACTCAGTACTGCACCATCCATTCCTTGGTTGACAAGGAGTGGCGCTAGGGGTGAGAGGCCAGGTTCCTTTCTTGGTCTTGGCCTCTTAGCAAGGGAGTATAGGGGACCTACGGTAACAAAGAGATCCCAGGGGAGAAGGGAGCTGCTTTCTTTCCTTGCTGAAAGTCTGAAATCATCCGTAATGGGGCTGGGTAATGATACAGCCTATACAGGAGTGTCATCAAGCCTCTGTGACAAGGTGACAATAAGCATAACTAACATTAACTGGGCACTTCACAGTCATTATTGCAGGTAATCCTCATCCAATGCTGTGAGAAAAAGAATATTATTATTCCCATTGTGTAGATGAGGAAGTAGGATTAAGAGGTTAGGTAACATAGCCAAGGTCACACAGCTATCAAGTAGGTGAATTGTGATTTGAACCTAGATTCCTGTAACTTCAGAGTGTGTGCTCTTAATCATCACACCAACTGCGATTTGTCTGTCCTAGTTCCCTCTTCCCACTTGAGCCAGGCTTTTCCTGGGGTCTCAGAGGACTTTTTTAATAGCACCGGGGCAAGTGGTCCAGGAAAGGAACCTGTTCCTTATTTCTTACTTTTTTTTTTAATTTAATTTTTATTGTGATTTGGGTGAAAGTTTCCAGAGCAAACTCATTTTCCATACAGCAGTTCATACATATTTTGTCTCATGACATTGACTGCCATTCCCCATAATGTAACAGCTCTCTTCCCACTTCCTCCCCATAGTTACCTCTTCCCTATGTCCTTCCCTCCCATGCACTCCTGTCCCCCAAGCTATCTTTCTGTGCAAGCACTGCCCTCTGTTCTCCCATGATCGATCGCTCCAAGGAATGTATTTACCTAATGTAAATGTTCACCCCTATGCCTGTCTCTTGTTTGGCTGGAAGCCATATGAGTGAGTTTGGTTCCAGACCTGCAGGGTAACTAGGGGCCATAGTCTCAGGGATCTCACCAGTCTCTATCAGACCAGTAAACCTGGTCTTTTTTTTTTTATGATTTTGAGTTTTGTTTCACATTGTTCTCCCACTCTATCCAGGATCTCCTGCACTAATCCCCCTCCAACTGGTTGACAGTGGTAGCCAGGCACCATCTAATTCTTCTGGTCTCATGGTATAAAGGATTGCATAGTCTGCTAGTCCCTTGAACTACTTGTTTCCATGCGTCTTTTGTTTTCTTCATTCTTCTTTGCTCTGGATGAGGAGAGACCCATTGTTGCATCTAGATGGCTGCTTGCAAACTTTTTTTTTTTCCCTTCTCTCTTTTTTTAAAAATTTATTTATTTATTTATTTTTATTTGGGTGAAGATTTACAGAGCAAATTCACTTTCCATACAGCAGTTCACATATACTTTGTCTCATGTCATTGACCACAGTTTACCACAATGCAACAGCTCCCCTCTCACTTCCTCCCCATAGTTACCTCTTCCCAGTGACCATCCCTCCATACTCTCCTACGCCCTGAGCTGTCTCCCTGTTGCTTGCAAACTTTTAAGACCCCAGTCACTGCTCACCAAAGTAGAGTATAAAGCAATGTTTTTGTGTAGTATGTTATGCAATTGAGCTTGATGTCCCTTGTGACCGTGGTCCCGACCTGCTCCCTATTTCTTACAGATAGACAGAGGAGGGCTCAGCCTTCTCTATAGTAGTAAATTTGAAACACCCTGAGCCTGGGCTGTGGGTGACTTAACTGCACCTGAGAGGGAAATCTAAGTACATGCACCAGGTCCTACCCCTACTATTCATTCGGCAGAGCACAGGGCTTAAAGGGGCAGAGCTTCCTGTAGCCGCAGCCTGGCTGGGCCCTCACCTACAGCTTCAAAGGTTCTGCCAGGCAGTGGAGACAAGCCCTAGCTCAGCCTCCTTCAGGCTGAAGCTGGTGGTGTCAGTGTAGGGTAGATAGGTGCCAGTTGAGAATGTGTCCTACCCCTGCTATGTGCCCATGTCCCAGGATCATTCCCATGGCCTGCTGGATGTCTGGCAGGCCCATCATTAGGGGCCCCTGTCAGGAGGGCTGGTGTGTGATGATGGTTGGGACTTTTGTCATGGGGAAAGGCAAGAAAGTTAGGCATTTGTTCTGACTAGACTTGGCCTCAGCCCCTTCCCAGTGGTAAGTTTTTTCCTTGGTCTGGGTATTCACTGGGAGAGGGACAGGGCTTCAGGAAATCTGTAAGTCCCCTGAAACTGTATGTGAAAAAATTTTCCTGCCAGGGGAAGAGGCTGGAACCTTTTCTCAGGTTCTCAAAAGAATCCAGTGACCAATGAGGATTAAAGACTGCCTGAGTGGATCTGCCTTATGAGGATTTAGGGCAAAGGCTGATGCGTGAAGCTCTCTACCTCACTAAAATAATCCTGACTCCAGGTGGTTTTACAAGCTAAAACCACTCCTGAGTACTCCCCTCCCAAAGCAGCATAGAAGAGAGTCTGGAGCCCACTCACCTGGCTTCAGATCAAAGCTTTGCCTTTTTCTACCTGTGTGACCTTGGTCAAGTTTCTCAATCTCTCTGTTTCTCAATCTCTCTGTGTTTCAGTTTCCTCATCTGTAAAATAGGGATAATTATAGAACTTAATGCATAAGAGTTAAATGGATTAATGTAAAATGCTTAGAAGAGTGCCTAACAAATGAGTGTTTAACTAAAAAAATTTAGATGACAAAGGGTCCTTTGCTCTTGAGATAAAGGTTATCTTTCCCTTTCCTTCTGAGTCCCCATTACATCCTCTCACTCTCCCCCTGCCCCAGGTATGAGCTTATGTACCAGTGCTGGAGTGCAGACCCCAAGCAGCGCCCAAGCTTCACGTGCCTGCGAATGGAGCTGGAGCACATCCTGGGCCATCTGTCCGTGCTGTCCAGCAGCCAGGACCCCTTGTACATCAACATTGAGAAAGCCGAGGAGCCTGCTGAGGGAGGCAGCCTGGGCCTGCCTGGCAGGAATCAGGCCAGCGATGGGGCTGGGGATGGCAGTGGCTTGGGAGCAGTGGGGGGCACCTCCAATGACTATCGGTACATCCTTAGCCCCGGCGGGCTGAACGAGCAGCCTGGGCAGGAGGAGCAGCAGCCACCAGAGAGCCCCCTTAATGAGGGCCAGAGGCTGCTGCTTCTGCAGCAAGGGCTACTACCCCACAGTAGCTGTTAGCCCACACGCCGAGGGCAGCTGGGGCCATCCGCTGGCTCTGCTGGCAGACTAAGCCCCTTCTGACCCCAGCCCGGTATCAAGGTGTGGAGGCTCCTGTGGTAGTCCTCCCAAGCTGTGCCGGGAAGCCTGACTGACCAAATCACCCAATCCCAGTTCTTCCTGCAGCCACTCTGGCCAGCCTGGCGGCAGTTCAGACCCTGGCTGGGTGGAGGTAGGCCAGGCCTGGTTGTCAGAACCCAGGCAGCTGACAGGAGGGGGTGGTGGTTATGTTTCCATGGTTACCATGGGTGTGGATGGGAGTGGGGGGAGGGAAGGTCCAGCCCTGTGGGCCCCTACCCTCCCAGCTGGGTTGCCCCTGCTGCTTTAGTGCATGCATTGAGCCACCTCCAGCCTGGAGTCCCAGCTGAGTCCATGCCTGGGTTTAAATGCCCAAGTTTGCCCTTCTGAGTCACACAGAAAAGCCCTTGTATTATCCTCCTTTAGGTGAGAGTTGATAAGGGGTTGGTACAGTCAGATCCTGAGCCCTGTGATAGGAGGCATTGGGACACTCTCAGGTTTGAATCAATCCTTGTCACCTTCCTGATTCCTCACGCTGCCTAGGCCAGGAGAAATGGGAGGCTGCTTCCCGGCAGCTGACCAAATCACACCAAGGCTTGCTGAGAGCCACAGGCTGCCAGATGCCCATCTTCTACAGGCAATGCACCGAGCCCAGCCAGAGGAATGGGGTTTGCCGAGGAACAAATGAGGGCAGAGAGGAGTCCAGGAGCCCCTCTTCCTGTCCTCCACAGTCTGTTTCAGCATGCTACCAAATCCCCAAAATCCTAAAACTAACAAAGGCAGCTGTGTCATAACCTGGCCCTTCCATGTAGCATCTTTAGCCCCAACTTCTCTAACTGGAGACCCTCTTCTGTCCCAAGTCTCCCGAGGGAAAATAGGCCTGATAGCTGGTGTGGGTGAAGGGGAGTTACTGGAGCCTAGTGTCCAGTCCTGGCCAGCGGAGCCGCGAGGAGTGCATGGGGCATGTCCTTGTTGTTAGGGACATTTCCAAGCTGTTAGATGCTGTTTAAAAACAGAAATAAAATTGAAAACTAAAGACTCAAGGTTTTATCTCTTAAATGTTTACTTTTTTCCCCTAGATCACAAAATGAAGTATTTCAGCATAGAAAAAAGTCTGGGAAGGCATATGCCAGAATGTTAACAGCTGTTATCTTTATGTCATGTGATTAAGGGGACTTTCATTTCTTTGTGCTTTCCAAGTTTCCTGAGTTGAGCACAAAGTGCTTTTGTAATTATAGAAGACCCTAATACATTTTATTATGTTAAAAAGTAATACATAGTCATTGTAGACAGAAAATCATTTAAAAAAAAAAAGATGTAAATTTACCCATAATCCTACCACCTAGAGATAACCACTGTTGACTTTTTGAGAATCCAAATGTTTTAAAATAGTTTCTTTTATCTTGGAACAAGGACAAAGAGACTCTCTTTGCTCTTTTATCAGGGAGCCCTGGTGGTGCAACAGTTAAGCATTCAGCCACTAACTGAAACGGCACAGTGTGTACGCACCAGGTGCTCCATTGCAAGAAAAGCAAAAACCAAACTCACTACCACTGAGTTGATTCCAATTCGTAGCAACCCCCTTTGGGTTTCCAAGGTGGTAAATCTTTATGGAAGTAGATTGCCCAGTCTTACTTCTATGGAGTGGCTGGTGGGTTTGAACCACCAGCCTTCTAGTTAGCAGTTAAATGCCTTAGGCATTATGCCACCAGAGCGCCTTCATTGGAAGATAATACTTGGCAACCTGCTTCCACAAAGATTACAAGCCTAGGAAACCCATGGGGCAGTTGTGCTCTGTCCTATAGGATCACTAGGAGTCATAATTGACTTGATGGCACACAACAACAATCCCTCTATCAGACTTTCCTACCATCATTGGGTGTGGAGACTATTCTCACCTTTACAGCCTTGCCTGAAGCCAGGAGAAACTTCTCTGAGGAGAGGTAAGCAAAGAGAATGATGATTCTCTTGAGGATTAGAAATAAGGGCATGGAATTTACTTCCAAGTATTTCTACTTGAAAATTTTGTTTAGAAGCTTTTAGAACTAGCTCATGGGAGCATACAGCAGGAGGCGTGGGAAACAGGCCCTACTCTGCCATGAGAGGTGGGAGAAGGTAGGGAGGGGTGCAAGTATTGCCCTGCTGGCTGAGGGCACTGGAATGGGGCAGGCCCTTCTGAAAGCAAGTATCCGGAAAAACTTGTTGGCAATTCAGATTCTGGTTCCCATGTGGATCATGAGACCTGAATTAACTTCAGGCCAAGTGGCTTTCAGAATGTTTCCTGCTATGATTAGCTTTTATTGCAGGTAGTGATTATCTGTGAGATATTGTTTGGGAATTTTTGATTGAGAAGGCCTCTACTCTCAAATAATTATCTACCATATGAGCTCGTATTATGTGCCAACTACTGTGCCTAGCACTTCACGTATATTCCCTCTTTTAATAGAACGTTACTATAAGATGGGTCTATAATTATCCTCCAACAGGACAAGATACATAGGAAGTAACTTGTTCATGGTTATACAGCAAAGAATGGTAGATCCACTAAGTCTCCCCACCTCTCTAGAGAGCACCCTGAAGCTCCATCATGAACATTTTTGGAATGCATATAGGTCAACAGTAGGCACCTTTAAAAATCCACAAGAGTCCTAATGTGAAATGGGAGTTACCTATCTATACCAGTGTAATTTTATCAGCTCAAGGTTTTCTCTAAGCACCTTGACCCCCATAGCCAACGGCCTTAAGGTAGGTAATAATAGTGGAATTTTTAAAAAAACCTTTTGATTAAAGAGTCCCTGGGGGGTGCAAAAGGAGCTCTGGTGGCACAGTGCCTAAGACATTTGACTGCTAACCAGAGGTTGGTGGTTCAAGTCCCACAGCTGCTCTGTGGAAGGAAGATGAGGGCAATCTACTTCTGTAAAGATTTACCACCTCGGAAACCCAATGGGGGTCATTATGAGTTCGAATCAGCTCAATGGCAGTGGGTTGTTGTTTTGGGGTGTTGCAAATGGTTACAGCATTTGGTTAGGTTGGAGGTTGAATCTACCCAGAGGTACCTTGGAAGAAAGACCTGGCAATCTAAGGAAAAATCCACTATCACCACCAGCAGTACTTGCTGAGGAGTGGATTCCTACCCAAGGTGACCCCATGTGTATTAGAATAGAACTGTCTTCCACAGGGTTGTCAATGGCTGATATTTTGGAAGGATCACCAGGGCTTTCTCCCAAGGCGCTTCTGGGTGGACTTAGCCAAGTGCTTTAGTATACCACCCAGGACTCCTTCTCTCCTGTGTTGTTGTTTGCCTTTGAGTCAATTCCAAGTCATCATGACCCTATAAACAATAGAAGAATCACTGCCCATCCTGCACCATCCTCACAGTGGTTTCTGTACTTGAGCCCATTTTTGCAGCCACTGTGTCAATTCATCTTATGGAGAGTATTTTCTCCTGTAGAATGGAAAAATAATACCTCACAAGGTCCTTGTGAGGATCAATTAAAATAACTCATCTAAATGTCAACAAAAGTGCCTGGTTATGTAGCCAAACTCACTAAATGGTAGTGAGACAGGCAGGGAAGGGGACTGGCTGAATCAAGCGGTATCTAACTAAATATTTGTGGGATCTAAGCCTATGACACATGCTGACCACCACGTAATTATTGCTGCTAGTGGCAACCCCATTTATTTCGTTGCAGCATTTATCACAATTTTATGACTACATATTAATGTATGTCCTCCTCACTTGACTATTAGCTGCACTCTACTTCAATGCCTAGCACAAGCCTGGAACACAGCAGACACGTAACATTTGTCGAATAAATGAATATGAAACCACAGATCCCAGTTCTCCAGGAAAGCCAAATATTAAACATTCATTTAACTCCTAACAATTTGGAGTTTGAAAAATAGGCTTATACTACATTTAACCATACTGAAGTTACATAAGGAGCTCTGGTAGCATAGTGCCTAAGGCACTTGACTACTAACCAGAAGTCTGTCAGGTCCACCAGCCACTTCTCAGAAGGGCTGTTAGGCAATCTATTTCTGTAGTGATACTGCCTTGGAAATCCAAGGAGGGGTCGCTAGGAGTCAGGTCCAGAGTCCATCCACCCAAGGGCACATAACAACAACAACAATGACAGAGAATGCTTGTAATTAACAAGCTAGGCCCTTGGTAAGATAAAAGTTACATTTCAAAAGCTGGACAAGCTTGACCAGGTTTAAAATGCTGATAAACCTCCCAAGTTATCTTTCAAGTTCCTCACCAGGTGCAGAGGATGTGCAATAAAATTCAAAGTGACCCACAATGACCTTCCACCAGAGGCAGTTATGATCAGGAGCCTCTCTCCGGGACTTGAACCAGAGTCCAGAGACATAACATCCCAAAATAAGTCACGTCAGGCATCCCAGGGACCTTCAGAACAGGTTCCATCTAGATTCTTCCAACAGCCTTTGGTATAGAAGCCATTTTGGCTACTTCCTGCCTACTCACCTAATTTTCAGAAGCTCTGGTGGCATAGTGCCTAAGGCACTTGACTGCTAACCAGAAGGCTGGCAGTTCAAACCCAGCAGCCACTCCTCAGAAGGAAGGTTGGGCAATCTACTATAGTGATACTGCCTTGGAAACCCAAGGTGGGGTCGCTATGAGTCTGTCCCACTTGACAGCACATAACAACAACACCACCACCTAATTTTCATAACCCCACCCTCCTACCAGAAATCCCCACCTATTTCATGTATAAAGAGGATGCCTTTCTGCCCACCCCTCCCCCAGAAAAACCCTTTATAAGGAGCTCTGGTGGTACAGTGCCTGAGGCATATGACTGTTAACCAGAAGATTGATGGTTCAAGCCCACCAGCTGCTCCTTGAAAAGAAAATGAGGCAATCTACTTCCAAAAGATTTACCGCCTTGAAAGCCCAGTGGGGGTCACGATGAGTCAGAATCAACTTGATGGCAGTGGGTTTGGGTTTTTTTGGAAAACCCTTTATAAACCCTAGGAAATCCTTAGTTTGGAAAGAGATTGGAGGCTAGCATGGAAACAGCTCCTCTTCCTCTCCCCTCAGGAGTTCTTCCCTTTCTCTTTAATAAACTTTGGTTCTGTGAACATTTTGCCTCTCCTGTTCAATTCTACACGGCAAGGACCCCTGCAACAGGGTCTCAGGACTCCCAGCAACAATAAAAGAGATTCCTTCTCTTTTCCTTAAATGCCTCAGTTTTCCCCTGGGATGAGTAGGGGAGGGAGGCAGCGTTTGGGACTTCTCTTAAGACACAGAGAGGTGGGGGAAAAGCCTCTGGAACATTGCAAGGTTGAAAAGAGTTTTACATTTTGACCCTGGAGGTCTAAAAGCCCTGTGGCAATCCATTGCCTGAAAACACCAAGGCTGGGTGTTTGTGCTTGAACCTTGCCCTTAGGGCTAGTGGGGCTTGTAGTTGCAGCCAGTTGTTTCTATT